CTTAGGCCATTAGGAAAAATCTATGTAGGCCAAATGAACTTGGTGAAGTAGGCCACAGTTCATAATCCATTTTGTCTTTTCCCCTCGCTTCTACTTATGGTCAATGGAGAGCTTCCCTGGGTGGAGAGAAACTTATTTTAGCCCATGTCATACGTCTAGTTGACTGGTCCTCCAAGCATCCCAGCATTTATATTCTCATTATCTGGGGAGAAGAGACATAAAGAATCCATCAGCACTTGTAATGGCTAATTTCTTTGCCCTATTAACTCAAACACAGTTTCCCTGAAGAACAGTTCTAATTTGTTCAAAATTCTATACTTCCTGTATAGCTAGTGGATGGAGTGGATGCATGCCCACTTATCAGTGCAGATGGGAAGGAAGGGAAGCACCCTCTTCTGGGCTAATGGTTGTATTTGCTTTATTAAGATTCAGCCTAACCTTTTGGAGGCTTGTTACCAGAAAGAACAGTCTAGCATCAATTATGCTGAAACAAAAATCATTATATTTAGTAGTCATTGTCTAATTTCTAAGTGGACTTTATTAAATAAATCCAGATAAAAGCTTAGTTCATTCAACTACACGGTGCATTTGCTGATAAATCATCCAGGCAGACTCATGATGATGTAGTTCTTCTTCGAAAGAAATTCTCAGTACAGTAAAGTCCATGTGAAGTTTTTTTTTGTCGTCAATGTGGCCAACTGGTAATAGAAATACTTAGGGTTTTTTTTGGTGGGGGGAAAAATAATTTCTTTGTGTTTTATGATGTCAAATTCTGTGGTCTCAGCCAAATACTTGGCCATACGCTTAAACAGGTTCAAACATTTTGTTGTTGTTCATTGAGAAACATTTTGACCCTTTTCCCTGATACCAGCATAGCTTGCTTCTGTGTCATTTTGCTTGAACAAGAATGGAAGGTTAGCTACTAAATTGTTCATCACAAAATGTTGAAAATCCCTTTATATATTCTATCTGAAGTGTATGGATTTCTCTTCAATCAGTGATACATGATGTCATCCCAGTAGATATTTAGCAGAAAGAAAATTCAGCTATTAAATTTTACCATTCAGAATACTTAGGTTCGGTTGTTAGCTGGTACTTGAGAGGGTCTAAATGGCATCCATTTACTGGTCTCTTTCAGTCACTGCATTCGGTTATATCACCAGAAAGTCGGTACCTAGACTGTATTATCTTGTGCTTTATAGTGGGTCAATACCGAGAATGTACATTTGAAGAACATTTTGGTATCTTCTACAAAAGAACACAGGAAAATCATAGTTTATTAGTTTATTTGATGTTCCTTATATATAGACTCATATGATAAATTCCTTCTTGAAACTAGTGTCAGAGACATATTAGTCTTTTTGGATGACTCAGTATGTTTTCTTTCTTTGAGAGATAGGAACTATACAACACAAATGGTTTTCTTTTTTTATTGTGAATGCCAGGAATCTAAGAACTTATTTTAGCAAGTCCTAATATCTTTAGGTATCCTAATATTTTAAACTCTCAACTGGTTTCTTATCCATCTTTTAAATGTGTGTAGTACAGTTTTATACCTACTGCAATATTTTGGGGGAAGAAAAATAGGAGAGGTCACTTCCTCAAAGAGGCTTTTCTCTGAAGACTCCATTGAAATCAGCTCCCCTCCTCCAGCCCCCTGGACTGGTTTTTCTTATCAAAGCACTCTTCCTTTATTGCATTTACAATAATTTATAATTATTAATTTTATTTGTTTCCTTATTTATGTTTGTTTCCTTATTTATTTATTTATTTATTTATTTATTTTGCAGTACGCAGGCCTCTCACTGTTGTGGCCGTTGTGGAGCACAGTCTCCGGACGCGCAGGCTCAGCGGCCATGGCTCACGGGCCCAGCCTCTCCGCGGCATGTGGGATCTTCCAGGACCAGGGCACGAACCCGTGTCCCCTGCATCGGCAGGCGGACTCTTAACCACTGCGCCACCAGGGAAGCCCCTGGCTATTCTAATAGATGTGATTTCCATCTTTTTTAAGGCTGAATTATATATATGTATACAATATATATAGTATGTATTATATATAAATTTATATTTTTATAAATATATAAATATTTTATAAATATTTATAAAATATATTTTATAAATATTATATATTTTTATAAATTTATATTACATTTCTTTATGCTGAATGATATTTATATCTATCTATGTATATATGTATCACATTTTCTTTTTCCGTTCATCTGTCATGAATATTTAGGTTGATTCCATATCTTGGCTCTTGTGTGTAATGCTGCAATGAACATGGGAGTGCAGACATCTCTTTGAGACACTGATTTCATTTCCTTTGTATCTATAACCAGAAGTGGAATTGCTGGATCACATGATAGTCCTATTTTTAATTTTTGAGGGCTCTCCATACTGTTTTCCATATGGCTATACCATTAGAAATGTGTGACTTTTTTTTAAACTCAAGAGTTTAAGGGTATTTTATTTAGTCTCCAAACTTATGGGATTTAAGGAAGCTATTCTTTTGTTAAAATTTCCAATTCTATTGTAAAATGATAGAGTACATAGTTTGTAGGCTATTGATTTTTTGAATTTATTGAAGTTTCTTTGTGAATTAATTCATGACCTATTTCTGTAACTGTTTCACATATGCTTGAAAAGAATCTGTTTTTCTCCATGGCATAATTTCCACATCTATGAAACAAGAAGAACCAAAAATATCCAACTCCTTTGATTTTTGTTTTGGAGGTTGCCAAACCAAAGACCAAAATGAAAGAAAATACAACACTTGTTCTTTTTGACTCTTTCTTTGGCAAACTCACAATGGGTATATCTTGACACAAGAAAGCATGTAGGGGACAGAGAAAAAGGAAAATATCTGTCTTTCCTGAAAACAGATTTGTTACCACTGAGTAACAGGTGCTTAATCCTCTGTGGGGGCATAATCCCAGCCTATAGAGAGGAACTAGATGGAGTGAAGGAGCAACCACCTGTGTTAGTGATTCTGCTCTGTGTTTGATTCCTTCAGGACCTGCTGGCCTTGGATATTTATAAAAGTGAAGCTGAGCCTTTGGCGTGCTACTCAGACTATCATTATATGCTAGGGTGGGGTGGTGGTCCTCCAACAGGCTGATTGACAGCAGCTGGCTGTCAGAGAGCCAGCTCAGAGAGCCAGTCAGAGAGCCAGCCTAGTCATTTAGGGGGCAGCATGGATGCTTAGCTCAATTTTCCGAAAGGGGAATTTGATGGTCAAGGGCTTCACCTTATGGTTTTAGGTGAGATCCTTAATAGCCAACCTCTCAAGTTCTTCACCATAAGAACTCCATGTGCCTCAGCTCCTGCACTGTCTCTGCTCATGCCATCTCTCACTCTCTTCTCTTCTGTGAGCTCTCATGGAACCCACTGTTGGCTTACCACCTCCCCCTGTACGTCATCAGCAATGTCTCCTTCTCTCTCCTAGGAGATCTCAAGCCTTTCCAAATACAATGAGTCATTAAGAAGCATTTTAAAAATATGTAGTTTTATATGGGTGTTTTTGGTGTTATTTGTTTCAACTTTGCTATTTGTTTGAAAGTTATCAAAGTTTACAGTTGGAAAAAATCCTTTTTTTTTCCTTCCCCCAAAGTCAGTAACCTCAGCTATTGACACTATCGCAAGAGGTTTGTACTTTATCTGGATGAAGACAGAATATTGCTAACACCTGTCCACCAACAGAAGGAAAATCTTGCCCAGGAAAGGACGGCAGTTCCAGAGTGAAAGAAGACGGTGAGAATGAAGAGAGTACCTGGAACTCAAGAGTATCAAGAGTAGGAGGTGGCACCAGAATGATTTACTAATATTTTGGTTGTCACTAGAATAGTAGACACTTCACCATACAGGGGTGTGTCATGTACTGTGTACTGGAAAGGGCATGAAATCAGAGGGACCTGGTTATAATTCAGGTTTTGCTATATATTAGCTTTGAGATTTTGGCTAAGACACTTGACCACTTTGATTCCACGGTCCTCACATGTGGAACGTGTAAAATGCTAATGATAATAATAATACTTGCCACCCAATGTAAAAATATTGTCACTGGCATAGTAAAATGGTATATTGGTATAGTAACCCTTTAAACTTGTTACAAAAGTTAGAATGTTTTGAGGAGGGAGGTTTAGAAGTGCTTTCCATTGATTTGCTTACAAAGATATTTTCATCTTCCACTAGAAGTGTTGGTTATGAAAATCCTCTACAGAAATAATGATTTTTGAGGTTTTCTTCTGTTACTGTCAACCACTTTTAGCAGGTGTACAACTTTCTGTGTATGTCACCCAATTGACTTAAAAGTGATTTAATGAATGTATTTACTGATTGCCTCATTTCATAAAGGAATCTGAGTAAGGACCCTCAATTTAACATTCTTTTCTCTCTATATATTTGGAGCAGGCACTTATCTTGCCTTCCAACTCCAAACTACATGCCCCAGACACACTTACTGCTAATGTCCCTAATTCCTCATGACAAATCCCTATCTGTGCAGAATAGCTGGTTGATTGCTGTAACTGAATCCTGACTGATTGATTTGTACACTTTTTTTGGGCAGGACCCCTGTGATATAAAGGAATGAACTTGCATTTTAGTGGGGGGAAAACAGATGATAAACAAATAATTAAGTAAAAGTTTTAGTAACTGATATGTCCTTCAGATAAAAATAAAGCTGGAAAAGGGGATGGGGAGCGCAGGAGGTGAATGTTGTGAGTTTAAATAGCGTGGTGGTGGGCACTGCAGTTTTAAATACAAGTGGTCATGGAAGGCTTCCCTGATAAGATGACTTTTGAGACCCGACTATTATGTCAATTGGGTGCAAGTCCCTGGTGGAGCTCATGTGTTAAAATGCAATTATTCAATTACTCTTTCCTTAGATAACTCCCTAAATGATGCTATTTTCCATCTCCAGGTGGTTATATTCTCTACCCACAGCAAACATGGCGGAAAAGGCTTCATCCTGATATCTGGGCCACCAATAAAGATGGCCACAGCACTTCCTGTGTTTGCCCTTAACAAAGATGGCGACAATACTTCCTGTTCAGGGCTTTTGCCTTCAACAAAAATGGTGCTTACGGTACAGGTTCCCTGACACTTTGTGGAGTCCGGTTGCAGTTTTTTTTTTTTTTTCCTTAAGATACGTGTTTGCAGACGTAAGTAACAGGATCCCAGAACCCCCGTATGCATCTTTTCTCGAAGGCACCGCGCCGCGGCGTCTGTGGCCTGGGCCCTGCGTGGCTCCCCCGCCCGCTAACTTCCTCGCGGCGTTCCCGAGCCGCTCGGGCTGGGGTGGCGGTGGAGGTGCTCGGGGCCCTGCTCTCCCCTCGGTCTTCTCTGCAGGTCATTCCCAGCACCCCGTTTATAGCGGGTCAGGTGGCCCCTAAAATCTTTCATAGTTCTTTCCGTTCCTAATGCCACAGGGCTTCAGCTGGCGAGGCGGGAAATAAAAAGTCCCACATCGGCGGGGACAGCCCAAAGGGCACATTTTCCTGCTCACCTGCCGCCTCTCGGGGTCGCCCGCTGTGGCTCTACTTTCTGTGGGTGTCATAAAGCCCCATTTGCCGTCCCCCGTCTCCCCTCCCCGCCACTTACATACCCTCTTAGCCGTCCCTCTGCTCACTGGTGCAGTGGTCTTAGAAACAAGCCTTCCATGGCGTGTGGACATTAAAAAAAAATCTTTTAAAGGAAAAAAAAAAAAAGCACAACATTAAATGTCCCGTGCATGTGTGGCTATGACAGTGTTGTGATGGAAATTCGAAATTCTTCCAGAGGAGGGCTGGAGTCTGTGACTATATATAAGATTTACTGTAGTGTGGGCATGAATGCCTAATGTTCTCCTTGAAGGCAATGGTGTATAGGCCTTTTCTCTTAGGGAAAAAGATCCTTAAACTTATTGGTACCTGCCGGTTTATTGCCCCACTTCCATTGATGATCAGGTTCTGCAGATGCTCGCGGTCTTAAGGGCACTTGTGTGCATATTGGCGGTTTCTGCGGTAATGGGGTGTCTCTGATGAACGCAATGTTAAAGGAAAAGCACTATTTCTTCTCAAGTATGTTAGAATGAAGTGCTCCTCTGTAATCCTCAGGTAAAAGTTGCTTTTTTTTTTTTTTTAGAAGATGTTGGGGGTAGGAGTTTATTACTTAATTTATTTATTTTTGCTGTGTAGGGTCTTCGTTTCTGTGCGAGGGCTTTCTCTACTTGCGGCAAGCCGGGGGCCACTCTTCATTGCGGTGCGGGGGCCTCTCACCATCGCGGCCTCTCTTGTTGCGGAGCACAGGCTCCAGACGCGCTGGCTTAGTAGTTGTGGCCCAAGGGCCTAGTTGCTCCGCGGCATGTGGGATCCTCCCAGACCAGGGCTCGAACCCGTGTCCCCTGTATTAGCAGGCAGACTCTCAACCACTGTGCCACCAGGGAAGCCCCAAAAGTTGCTTTTTAAGCAGTGTCTCTAATCCACTTTTCCCCAAATCTCTTTATGGAACAAGGAATGGAGCTAGGACCCCATTGTGTGGAAAGTAAAAGCAGAGAAGATGATTCATGTTCTGAAGCATTCGAAATTAATTCAGCTTGGCTTAACAGCCGTGTATTAAACACCATGGCCTGGCGTTCTGCTAGGGTTCAAAGATGTCCGTGACCTTAAGGAGCTTGCACTGTAAGACACTATCTTTAGGGGCTCATCAGGCTTCCTGTGATCTGAGCTACCATTTTGTGTCTTCCCAGGGGGAGATGGAGGCTAGAGACAAGCAAGTGCTTCGCTCCCTTCGCCTCGAGCTGGGTGCAGAGGTACTGGTGGAGGGACTGGTCCTCCAGTATCTTTACCAGGAAGGGGTCTTGACGGAAAGCCATGTTCAAGAAATTAAAGCTCAAGCCACAGGCCTCCGGAAAACAATGCTGCTGCTGGATATCCTACCTACCAGGGGTCCTAAAGCATTCGATGCCTTCCTAGATTCCCTGCAAGAATTCCCCTGGGTAAGGGAGAAACTGGAGAAGGCAAGAGAAGAAGCCATGGTTGAGCTGCCTGCAGGTAGGCCTCAAAAAGATCACTCCAGACCACCTCCACGATCGTTGGAACTGTGCCCTTTGGATTTGAAGTTGGGGTTTTAGGCTGGGTGGGGGTTGGCGGGTCCTGAAAGTGGGAAAGGAGTTTGGTTTGCAGGCATGTGGCGCTGGAGGGACTGGTTGAGGAGATGGAGTTAGGAAGTGCAGGGAAGGAGGGAGGAATGGAACACGATTGAGAGGGTGAGGAGGGAGCTCAGAGAATACATTTAGAAATGCTTCCAGGGAAAGTTGGCAAGTCACTTGGGAGGCATGTTCTCATCAGAGAGCCAGGTCATATCTCAGCCCTTGGCATTGGGAGCCATTTGGAAAGTGCAGATGGGAAAGCAGGCTTTAGGCTTCCTGATAACTGATTCGTGGGGTGCCAGAGCGGCCGGCTGGGAAAGGTCAGACTCATGAAGAAGGGGACAGCCTCTAGGAAGGCACGCCTTGCACCTGTTCCCTGGGCTGTCCTGCATGTCCAAAGGGGATTATTTGGAAGGCTGGCTTAGTTTGTTTTTAAAGACTATTGATTTAAAGTCATCCTTTTTAGTTTGGCTTTGTTCAGACACCTGGAGTATTTAATTTTATAAGGACAGTAGTTTTTTTTGGGGGGTGGGGTGTCTCATTTTGATTTTAAGGAATGTTGGAAGCTATAGAAAAGAGAAACAGTCCTAGTGCTATCAGCCTGGCTTGTAGCAGGAAGAAGATGTGAGATGAAACACTTGTTTCTTCTCAACACCTCCCATGACGTCTACTTTTTACAGAGGTTGAAGAGCAGAGAACTGAACTGGCAAAAAAAAAAAGAAGGAAAAAAGAAAGTTGACTTGTAAATTTTTAACAGAGTTAGGAAATTGACATTCTCAGTTTTTTATAGCAGTGATAGTTAGACCTACCCCAACTCAGGGATCTCCAGAATTTGTTGTTGCTGTTTTTCAAATACCAATATAACTAGTAAAAACACAAATGCCGGTAATAAAGAAACTACTTTTATTATTTTTGCCCCATGGACCTCATATTTTGAATGATTTTCCAGACCACATGATAAGTAATCATGACTAATTCTTCTAATATTTTTATTAATGACATATGTCTGAATATTTGATCAACATGAGATAACTGGTTGACTTAGGAAGGCCTGGGAAAATCCCAGTGGAAAAAGCAAAAATATTTTCATTTCCTTGCATGGCCAAATTACAGGTAAATGTATGTTTCAGGCTTTTTGAAATACTGAAAAAAGCTGGCCTTTGAGGACCACAGGAATTTTCAGGTTGGATTTGTTCTTACAAAATAAAATACTCCAGGTGAACAAAGCCAAACTGAAGTAGGTAAAATGTTTCCACCACTTGATTGAAAGCAGAATATGTAACATAGAAGTGGGGAGATGTTAAAAGAAATATTAGGGTGTCCGATATCTTTTCATGGTATTTGCCTTAGAGGTTCCTCTTGGCAACACATAGTTGGAAATAACAAAACAGGCAAAGCTGAAAGCCTGTTACTACTGAAATACTTAATTTAATTTTATAATCATTGTAGGTGTTGTAAATAGTATGATTGTATGTTGTTCAAAGAGGTGTGACCCCGTTTTCATTTCTTCTGATTCATTCAAAGAACAAGAAAAGTTATTTTTAACAAATGGTGAAAGTTACAATGATGTTGAAGAAAAAAATATATATATATATTTTTAAGTGAGCAGTATGAAACATCGCGGACCGGGAAAAAATTCAGTGTATCTGGGCTGAAGTTTGGAAAAATAACGTTAATACGTTAATTCTGTGGAAGTGGTCAAATGGAACGATAGGTTGGCTACTGCACAAATGAAGTCCTCTCAATTGTTTTACTTCTTGTTGAGTAACACTGCTACTGAAAAAAATATCCTGAAGAGAGAGTTTGATTTACATAGCGTTCTGTATACTTTCCACAGTGGCAGTTACACAAACTCACTTTTTAAATAGTTTTTGTTAATTACTGAATATTTTAAGTAAGATTACAAAATATAAGTAAGGCGTGAAGAACAATGGTACAGTGAACACCTGTCTCCCCATCACTCAGTTAAAAAATATTACATGGGGCTTCCCTGGTGGCGCAGTGGTTGAGAGTCTGCCTGCCAATGCAGGGGACACGGGTTTGTGCCCCGGTCTGGGAAGATCCCACATGCCGCGGAGCGGCAGGGCCCGTGAGCCATGGCCACGGAGCCTGCGCATCTGGAGCCTGTGCTCCGCAACGGGAGAGGCCACAACAGTGAGAGAGGCCAGCGTACTGCAAAAAAAAAAAAAAAAATTACATGGCCTTTGAGGACCCCTGGGTGCTCCTCTCAATCCTAGCTCATCCCCAACCTCCACTCACCGATAAACCTTGAATTTGGAGTTTATCATTTCCTTCTTCACTTTGTAATTTTCCATCTCATAAAACTCACTTTTAAAATCCACATATGTTATGGAAAATTCACTACACCATAAGTTTCAGCAATATCTATATACGTAAGGTGTGGAGGAAATGGTATATTTTAAACGAGTTGTTAGTTAACAGCCTTCTTTATTTGAGACCTTAAACTTTGTGTTAAATTAACTTGATGGCTGTATTTTAATTATGAAATTAAATTAGGACTTAATTGGAAACGTATTTTTTTTTAAATCCTGGAAAGAGTATATTAGACTTGAAATGCCTTCAGTTTTAACGTAAAAAATGCGAATGGACCCAGAGGCCTATTTTCCAGGACCCCAGTGCTTCTCCAGTGTCGTAATGGAGTAATTTTAATAAGGTTTTAAATAGTCCATTTAAATTTTTGTAAAGGCATGTTTGAACTTTGAAGAATTAGAATGTAGGAAAATGTGGTGCTTATATATGTATGTGTATACAATAACCTCTTCTGACTTTTTACTCATTTCAGTCTCAGTTATTAATTAATTTGTACAGGTTTGGTGGTTTTCTCTTGGGAGGCTTTGAAAATGAATGGGGAGGAATGGCTTTCTCTTTGGCCAAGAGGTCTATCCTGATTGATCTGAATGAACTGATGTTATTTTATAAAAAGTTTTCTCGTTTTGGTCTTTTCAGAGATTCCTGGTTTTCCTCTTGTTTGTTTGGTTACTTTTTGTGTTTCACTTGTAAACTTTGAGCTACTTAAGAGGCCTTCTTTGGTGATTGATCCCTGTTAGTTGCTTTTAATTTATATTCTGGGTGTCATTTTTTATTTATTTATTTTTAATTTTTATTTTATTTTTTAATAGACACCTAGCCATTTTATTTTATTTTATTCTTGGCTGTGCCGTGTGGCGTGTGGGATCTTAGTTTCCCCACCAGGGATAGAACCCATGCCCCCTGCAGTGGAAGCCCTGAGTCTTAACCACTGGACCACCAGGGAAGTCCCTGGGTGTCATTTTTTAGAGAAGAATCAAGTTGTATCTTCTCTCTATTCTTCTAAACCATGCCCCCAGGAAATCCCAAAACATTAAAAAAAAAAGTTAAACTTTTTATTTTCTCAGTTTGCCTATCCCTATTAAAAAAAAAAAAAAGACCAAGATGTTCATGGATAATTGATTTTGTGTTTTTCTCACCTTATAAAGACACTTATATTTTATTATTTTTTAATCTTTTTTAATAAATTTATTTTATTTATTTTTGGCTGCGTTGGGTCTTCGTTGCTGCGTGCGGACTTTCTCTACTTGCAGCGAGTGGGGGCTACTCTTCGTTGAGGTGCACAGGGTTCTCATTGCAGTGGCTTCTCTTGTTGCGAAGCACAGGCTCTAGGCGTGCGGGCTTCGGTAGTTGTGGCTCGTGGGCTCTAGAGCGCAGGCTCAGTAGTTGTGGCACACGGGCTTAGTTGCTCCGCAGCATGTGGGATCTTCCCGGACCAGGGCTCGAACCCATGTCCCCTGCACTGGCAGGCAGATTCTTAACTACTGCACCACCAGGGAAGCCCAAGACTCTTATATTTTAAAAGAGGAATTCTGGCAATAAAATGACTTAATCCCGCCTGGCACCATGGAAGGCACACTTCATGGTATGTCCCCTACTGGCCAAGGTCACGTAGTAGACACTAGATTAGCTGGAAATCCTCCCTGGGCTCCTGGCAGGTCACTTAGGAGATGAGGATAGTGCTGAATCTGGGTAAAGGCAACATGTGTCTTCCTGCCTGGCTTCCCGCTACTCATGGGCCCTGTCTTGGCTGACAAGCTCGCTCTGGTGCCTGAGCTAATCTGGATCTGGAAAGGAGGTTTGTCAGCAGCCCCTGTCTCACCAGCTGGTAGGACTTAGCCTTAGGTCATGGTGGGAGTGACTTCTGGGCCCAAGGACTCCCTGTTCTACCATGTTGGCCCTGGCTGTGGGATTGGGTCTCTGCCATGATTCCCACTTAACAGTCAGCCTGGCAACCCTTCCTTTAACCCCAGTCTTTTTTAGGCTTGGGAGTTTTTTTTTTTTCTTTCTTCCTAGGCTAAATTTCTGCTTTATATTCTCTTAGCCACCAGCAAGGATGAAAGATAAATGTCTTATAATGCAGCGCAGTGACTCCTGTTGTAGCATCAGATGCCTCAACTCTCTGGCCTGCTGGAGTAGCTGTCCTGGGGCTGACATTTGTTGTAGCCTTGCCTGAGCTTGAGCTGGTCCTCGCCATGGACCCTGTGCCCTGGACTCTGTGGCTGTCCTCACTGGAGCAGGATGCAGGGCTGGCCTGTTTCCCCTCTGCCCAGAGGGTCCAGGGCTCAGCCTGTCCCTTTTCGAGCTGGCCTCGTGTGACCACGTAGAGCTACGTCAGCTGCTGTTTTGAGATATACTCTGGCTGTCAGATGTATACTTGGATACATCTGAAGTTACTGAGCAATAAAGTTACTGAGCAATAAAAAAGCAATGAAGTTTTTACTCTAGGTATTGTAATAGGTTTATTAGAGAGATTTCCAGCCTGGGACTTTTTAATCATACCATGAGTTCATACCTACTCTGGATATGGTAATTTCAGTGTTGATCTCAGTTCATCAGGCTTGTGGTCTGTCC